TTTCAGCAGTCCCGGCCTGTCCTGCCGTCCTGTCTCAGCCCCAGATTTTGTGGCCTCATCTCTTTAGGGGAGGAGCCGCCAGCTCATCCTCGTCCCCTGCCTTAAGTCCAGTTCTTTGCCTCAGGGGTCTCTTTTCCTTGGCCTTCCAGGGTCCCCTCCTCTTCTCTCCCTGCCTGATTCTCTGGGCCCTGGTTCCCCTCTGTATTGAGCTGAAGGACCAGGATGACTATTATTTTGTGGGTACTTAGCCCCTCACCCTATTTTAGCTTCCCTAGTCTTTGCGCCAAACCCAAATTCTAAATAGTTCAGATCTCATTTTTAGCAACATTCGCCTGTCCGCTAATATGTATTTTCGGTGTAAAGCTGAGCCTTTAAATCAGACACCTTTAAGCGATGTGGTTTTTCACCAAGGGGGATGGAAATAGGAAGAATCTATTTATGTCTAGCCAGCGTGTACGAACCCTTCTGATGGCTGGGACAGAGCACCCCCGGGCCAGTCCTCTACATAGCCCACAGTGCCCCTTTATCGGCCCCTTTTGCCCTGGAAAACCTGTGATACTTGCCTTGAGGAGCACACCTTGGGATAAGAGCCTCACTGATCGCTCATGCTCCCTGGGAGGAGGCTTCCTCTGTGTGGCGGGAGCCTGGAGATGACAGAGCTGCAGATTCCGTCCCGCTCTCCTTTGTGAAGAGACACCTCTGCCACCCCCCAGGGGCTCCTCAGCCAGTACTTGCTTACTGTGTCCCCAGAGGGACACCGATGGGCTGACTTAGCTGGGGCCAGGGTGGGGCCAGTGGGAGGGTCTTTGGCTAGGCCTGTATGAAATACGTTCTGTAACGGGGAGTCCTGGGAGGATACCTTTTGTTTTCTTCAAAAACTTGGTTTCAGAGGAGTCCTTTCTGGGTCACATCAATACCTCACTGACCTGGAGACCGGGGCCTGGGTGGTGACTGGAGTCTGCCTTTGTGGGCAGGAGTGGGGTGGGGTGTGATGTGAGCAGCGGGCTGGGGTGGCAAGAGGGAAAGTACTTGGGATCTTCGTTGCCGCCCTGTTAGGGGCAGGGGAGTGTTTATTTTGAGAACCTGCCATGTTTTTAATCACTGTGATTTTTTTCATTTTTTTCAACAAAGGCATTTTTTTCCTCCTCAACTCTCTCTCTAAGCACTAAGGGCTGTGACTGAGAATGGCAGCGCTTTGGTCTTTTGTGTCAGAACTGTGGTATCTTTGACTCCTTGGGTTATTATTATTATAATGTTTTAAACTGTCGGGGTGACTCGTCAAGTGAATGGCTGTGTGTGTGTGTCTTTGCTTCTCCTACACGGGAAGTTGTCTTCATGCTGTGAACTGCTGTGGGGCGTCTCTGAGCAGTCTCCCCACGAGGGCCCCACTGCGCTGAAGGTTCTCACGTGCCCTCCTGCTGCAACAACGGTCTCTCCCGTGTCACCACAGGGGGCGCGTGGTGGGACTCTCCAGCGCTGCTTTCCACGAACACATGGCCTCCTGCCCCCTCCCACAGCGCCTCCTAGGCCTTCCTTTTTATCACCTTGGGACACTTGCCCTGTTTCCCTCCACACCAGGACACTGTGCCTCAGTCCTTCACCTACCTCGCCGCTCTGCCGCTGTCCCCATCGGCCCCTTTCTCTTGGCCAAGTCTTTGTGCTCTCTCCGTTCTCGTGTAGTTCCCTTGTCTCTTTTTTTTTTCTTCCTAGCCTTTGCATTTCAGCCCTAATTTTTTTTTTTTTTTTTTTTCTTCCTTATCCCCACCTGGATAATCCGGTGCAAACCTGCAACGAGTCATCGGGATCCCCGGAATCTTCCTCCAGGGTCTGTGCTTCTCCTTCTCTGTCAGGCCCCCATAAGCTCCCTTACCCCCGTGTGCTGTCTGTCTGTCTGCTCTCTCCTCTGCCCTCCCCATGGGGCAGTATCTGCTGATGGATTCAGACCTGGTGTGTGATTGTTGTGACTTGTTCTTCTGTGTGCAAAAGGAAGGGTGCTCTCTGAGTGCCTTCCAAGTGAGATTGTAAATGTAGACTTTCCACTGTTGGATCTAGATTTTTTTTTCTTTTTCTTTCTTTCTTTCTTTTTTTTTTTTACTTTTTCTTTTCTTTTCTTTTTTTTTGGTTACAGAGTTGAGACCTTGTGCATGCATGTAGAAAATTGTAAAATGTAAATTTTTTTTTTTTTAATATATAAAAGCTTGTTTTTACAGTTTGCAGTGGATCTAAACATTATGGCAAGTTTAGGAATTTTTTTTCTTAAACATAGAAACTAAAACTGTATAAAATTTTTTTTTATATAAAATAAAGACATTTGACTTTTGTGGGGGCATTCTGTCGTTTTTCTTTTTTTTTTTTTTACAGGCATGAGAGCAAAAGAGGATCAGGCAGGGAAAGGGGACTGTGCTCCTTGTCTGGGAATGAATGGACCAGCAGGGGGCAGTGTGGGCTCATTATTGCTCTACAGGTCCCCAGGCCCTGTTTGGGAGAAAAGGGAAAATGAAAAAGAAAATCGCTGATTGTGAACCCTGATTCTGAGAAGAGACGCTAAAGAACGGAGAGTCAGCTGCTCCCTGGGGTTGTCAGGATAAGGAGAAAGCAAAGATTCCTTTTTGGCTACATCCTGTAAAGCAAACTGATTCTGTCTGAACTCTAGGAGAGCAACAACGGGGTTTTTTCTAAGATCTCTTTGTTTAGCGGCCAGCAGCTGGTGTGGTGGTTAAGGCACTGGACTCCCACATGGCTGACCTGTTTGAGTCCTGTCCTGGGCCTGGCAGATTGCTTTCTCACTTTACCTCTTTCTGTCTCTGTTTCTGTCTCTGTCTCTCTCTGCTGAGTGCATGTGTCCTATACCAAATTAATAATAATAATAAATATAATTAAATAAACCTTAACAAAAAGAAGATGTTTTTGCTTAAAAAGGTCTATGTAGTCCGTGAGTGAAACAGACAGAGAAAGAGAGCGATCTACCACCCTCAGTGCTGTGAGCCATTGCCTGGATTATGGGGACACATGTACCTGGCAAACTCCAGGAGGTCTCCAGCCTGGAACCATCTATTGGTCAGCCCCTGACAGGGCCCCCTGAAAACATCTTTCTAAATCAGAGAACGTCAGGAATTTCAGAGAAATTGCTGATTTCAGCCAGTAGGGACAGCACATTGTATTTCCTTGAGAAAAATCTTTGAAGCACATCTAGTTATAAAAGTATACAAGGGGTTCACAGGCAGAGGGCAGGCATTGCTGGCTTGGTTCCCAGGAGCTCGGGAGGTCTCCTTCAAGAAAGTTAGGGAGTTTTCTTAAGACTCAAGTGAGAGTAACACCATCTCTTGAGGTGAGTTTTTATTTTTTAATTTTTATTTATTTATTTATTTATTTTGGAGAGGTTTTTGCTATAGTGTGTGCTCTCGCCAGGCAGACAGAGAGAGACAGAGAGACAGAAAGCGAGAAATCACCCCCCAGGGAGGATGGCCACGCTGCAATCCCTTCTCCTCCATTCTCCTCTCGGGATCTTGGGCACGCATGCACACGTGCCTGGCGTGAGTTTTAAGCCACCGGGTTTGGGACACGAACCGCGGTCAACTACATGGGAGTCCAGCGACAGCCATTACGCCAACTGCTGGTCTCTGTGGTGAGTTTTTATTTACCTAAATATTCCTGCCATCCAAACCAGACACTCACACATAGTTGGTACTCAGTATAAAACTTACTGAAAAGAATAAATTTAAAAAGCTGATGATGGGCCAGCAGGTGGCATGGTGGTTAAGGTGTTGGACTCCCACATGGCTGACCACGGTTCAAGTCCCAGATCTGGTGGCTTGCTTTCTCACTTCTCTCTTTCTCGTGTCTCTCTCTGGTCAAATTAAAATAATAATAGTAAATACAATTAGAAACATTTAAAAAAACTAATGATACAATAGAGGCATGCAAAAGGAATCTCATAAATGCTGCTTCTCCCTTTGAAGCCACTTAAGTCTTATGTGAAAGCTGACTACATACTTCATTCTCCAGAATGTCCTTTCTGTAACTAAGCTTGTGGAGAATAGTTTCACTTGCTGTTTTCAGTTCACTTTAGAGTCAATTTGTGACTTCTTATGACCTAATTTCTATCCTAGCATGCCTTTGAAATTATTATTATTATTCTTTTTTTTTTGAGATGTTTTTGCTATAGGGAGCGTGCACTCACTAGAAAGACAGAGAGAGACAGAGAGACAGAAAACAAGAAATCACCCCCCAAGGGGAGATGGCCGCGCTGCAATCCCTTCTACTCCATTCTCCTCCAGATCTTGGGCACGCATGCACACATACCTGGCGTGAGTTTAAGCCACTGGGTCCGGTACTTGAACTGCAGTTGACTACATGGAAATCCAGCGACATAGCCATTATGCCAACTACTGGTCCCCAAATTATTATATTTTAAGAGAGAGATCCTTTCAGTAGAGTGCATGCACTCACTGGAGAGACAGAAAGTGAGAAACCACCCCCGGGGGGATGGCCACACTGAAATCCCGAGATTTTGGACATGTGCACATATGCGCCTGGTGTGTTTCCAGCTTCTGGATCCAGGACTTGAACCAGGGTTGGCCATGTGGGAGTCTAGTGCCTTAACCGCCACACCAACTACTGGCCCAAAATTATTCTTGTTTCAAAGAAAACTTAGGTCTTCCATGAATGA